CTCTCTTGACGAGTGTGTTATATGTTTCTGCATACACAAACATGTGTGTTTCCACAAACCATTGGATCTTTGGACAATGGTATGTGTCCCCACAAACCATCGGACCTTTGGACGATGGCGTGTGTCTCAGCAAACTATCGGACCTTGGGACGATGGTATGTGTCTCCGTAAACTGTTGGCCGTTTTGGACGATAGTTCACATCCCCGCAAATTGTCGTATCTTTGGGACGATAGTATGTGAGGTATGTAGACCGTATATAAAAAAATGGAATATAATGTGTGAACATTGTCTATTTTGCAATGAAGTCCATGAAGGCACACCTGTGATCCACGCTCTTATTATCTACAAGTCACGGCAGCGACAACTCAAGCAGATAAGTTATAAATCTTCTCATAAAAGGAGTCTATTCATCATCTTCAAGCAATAGTTCTACGTTGAAGACGTTGTCGATGAACTTGCAGACCTCTGGCACCACCAGGATAAGGACGTTCTTAGACGGGATCCTGTCGGCAAGTCGAATGTAGCACTTTGTGGTATATTGGGTGAGAAGACCGCATGAATATCGGAAAGCTCAATTAGAAACTGGAAAAGAGGGCGAAGGGGTTATGGAGGAATGTAGTTGAGGATGTGCGCCTTCCGCCGGACTTGAGGTGGAAAGCTCGGACAGCACCTAACTATCTCAACTTCAAGACACCTCGTCATGCACATGCAGATAGCCACACCTACACTCACACTCACATCTACTCCATCGCCGTCTCTTCGATGATTGCTTAGCGATACCTGGACAATCTCGGATCGGTATAAAAACGATAGGTCGCACTTAGGTCAATGCGTCCATCACAGCACTACGTTAGGACCAGACGCCGAATCGCACGCGAGACCGCTTTAGACGTGGCACACATATACTAGCAATTATACCAGACGTACCATAGGATAGGCAATAGGAGCACAAAATAAGGTCAAACCACCAATCGGACTGGGTCGGAAAGGTGATTCACCCCGCATAGACGCACATGCGCAAGGTTGTTCGTGGTGCCACGCTGTTCAGTACTCCCATGTTCGTCTCGCATGAAAAACGTGCCAAAGTATATTAAGAACCCTTCGCTCGTGGATACTCACTCGTTCTTCCAGTATCGTGCTGATAGAAGCCATGACACGGCCCGACTTCTAAGATGATCCGGGCCGAATGCCTTTCTTCGAATCCACTTCTCACATTTTTACATCCAATCTTCCGCTTTCTGTTACGAAAAACGACGAAGAGTCCCAAAGAAACATCAGATTACACAGAGATCAAGCAAGCTACACGCCTGCCACATTTAAATACTAGTCGTGACATGGAAACACGGGTGCTTGCGGCGAACTTGTATGCATCGCAGAGCAGCTATATAATGGTATATTGCGAAAAGCTAGCGAGAAAAGATGGCTAAGTAATGACGAGAAAAGAAGATACAAGAAAGACAAAAGAGCACGTTATAGAGCCAAACCATATTATGACCGAGTACCCATGTCGTATCCAGCCCCCGGAACAGCGGTCCACGTATCCCCCCCCTTCGTTTACTGGCTTCATACTGATTTCAAAACAGGTCCTCATATTGCTGTTTCCAGAATCAACACAATATCTCTTGCGATACCTCCGGTGCAGCTGTGAGTGGTTGAGGCTCCGGCCACTGCCCTGTCATTCCGAACATGCCCATGGCTCTACTGCCAATCGCCTTCTCCATCGCATGTTCCGCCACTCTCTTCTCCCACTCTTCTATGCTAATTTCCCCGTTGAGCACATGCGGAAAATTCATGGCCGAGATTCCTGCAATGTCGGAGCTTGCTCCTAGATGGGGCCGAAGCTGGAGGAAAGCCTCACCCACCAGCAAGAGTTTCCCATCGAAGAAGGAACTCTTGGTGTTGTCGAAAGAACGGATGGCCGTGAGAAGCGGCATATCAGACTGATGGAAGACTTGTCTCCACATTGGTGTCAGACTTGAGTCTCTGCGTCTGAGCTGCGCTGCCCAGACCTCGGATCGAAGCAGATGTGAAGGTACAGTGACGTTGTGTCGGATGTTGTGCACATCGGTCATGTATTCGGAAAACACCGGGGTCGACGCGTCGCACGGATCGTACCAACACCACTCAATGACTCTTTCCTCTGGATTCATGTTCCCAGACTTCCCAGGCGACAGGTAGCTTCTTTACGTCAGTATACTTCCAATCAAGGATGGATCAAACATACACCATGACATAGCTACCGTCAAGCATGCATATCGGCATTTTGCCCTCAATGGCGCAAAGTAATTGCTCGGGCGCATCGGCTACCTTGATGCTCGCTCTCCAGGCCACGTAGCCGACATATTCTGGCTTGACGTCCGGAAGTACCAGACTGCGGAAGTAGGATCGTGCACCATCGGCAGCGATGACGAGATCGGCAGGGATCGTATCTTCAGTTCCGTCCTCGCCTTTGTATGCCACAGTGAGGTGGTCGTCATTCTCTGTCAGCCCACTGACCGTGGTCCCGCAACGCATGGTTACGAGTCCGTGCCCCTCTTTTCTATTCTCGCACGCCGTCCAGAGCAGGCGGTGTATGCCAGCCCAGCATGATGTGCGTACATCTTCCGTGCATGGTACCTCCACTACCATTTCACCCTTATTATCGAAGATCGGGAAAGAAGGGTTGCGGAAGACGACATCATTAAGCTCAACCTCCGGTATGTATGTCGTGAGGACCTTCTGGGCGTTTGGCCAGAGACTCAGGCCAGCAGCTTGAGCCTGAAGCTGCTCCTTGGAACGTACTTCAAGGACATCAACGTTGTAGCCATGAGACTTGAGTACCAGGGCATGCATGAGCCCGGCAATCGAACCACCGCCCTACCAAGTAGAGTTAGCTTTGAGGTGTATATCGGATCATGATCGACTCACCACAACGATTCTTTTGCTCTGCGCTTCTGCCATTGTGGTTTGAACAGTTATGAGTGCCGGGAGGGTGCGGGTTAAGGATCCGATGAGTTTATACGCAACTCTACACTGCGCTAATGTCGGGAGTACAGAATCTGACAACTATCGTATGTCTTGAAGGGATAAACGGTATGGCGCAGTTGTTACAGTAGGGTATGTAAGAATCAAGGGTGGTCGATGCTTATGATTCATCCCAGAATGCTGACAAAAAAGTAAGCGTATCGCACGAACGGTCGCGGCACGGAGACCCCGAACCAGCAACACGGCTTTATTGTGGCTTCGTCTATCTTTCTCCATCGCCTGATGGCCTATGAGAGTGGTGTGTGCTGCTATCACCACACTGCTAGCTCTCGCTTTCTGGAACTTAATGTCGGGGAACAAGGACCGAGACGATCAACGGCCCGAATGTTTGGATCTCCCACGTGATGGTACATTGAATTTCTCCGAGTACCTGGTGAAGTGGACCTCTTCAAATAACTTACTCACTGCTCAATGAACCATCCCACGTGGATCGCCACGCCTCACTCTCATCGCGCTTCTCAATACCCTCTTTAGTCATACCCCTTGTAACCTCCTTTCCTCCCGCTCGCATCTAGATCGTTTAAACGAAAGTGTACGCATGAGAAGTCGCATCGAATTGGTCCGCCCTCGGTGGCTGTCGATCTACGCGAGTCATCATGGTAGCTTCCAAAAACAAAGCCTTCGATGCCACTAGCCGTCGCAGCTGCGCCCACGACGTCGCTGGGATACTGATCTTGGCGGTTTCGCTTTTAGTGACTACTCTCTTCAAGGTAGTGATCTTCGTAAACTTTAACTCCCGTACACATGGTTTCGAAATGACGATGCTGACGATGCCGCCTGTCACATTGGCAAACAAAAGTTACATTTTGTGGCTGTCATCTCGGCACTTGGGCCGTCCGAACTGATGTTGCTCGGGTCAACGTCGTCAACCCCACGCCGTCTCCTTACGGAACCATCGACGATGCCCCACGGACCATCTCAACGACCAAGAAGCAAATATGAGCAGATGATGTGTTTGCGCATAATCATACCACACACCATGCCGAAGGAACCAGCTGGCTCTCTCCCGGGGCGTAGAAAGATGGAAGTGGTCCCAATCCAATAAGTGAGTTTTGGGCGTCGTCGTTATAAGATACCAGGGTAGGGTATAAGCGGAAGGCAACTTTACACGCGGTCTCCACCTCGTCTAGCTCACATCGGGGGTTATTGTCCGCATAGCCCACGAAAATCGTACGTCAACCCGATGGAGAAAAGCCGGTTGTATCGGTTCCGCAAGTCTGACATGAGGAAGGACGCGCGACTTGATGGAACCGGAAGTAAGTAAGCGACGGGGCACTGAGGGTGTTGTTATACGTTTTCTATTCGTGCGTGATGGAGCTGACACTCGCATGGTGTGCTATGACAGCTCAGCATGGCCTGCTTATCTACAAGCCTCTTTTCCGCTTCCCCGAGTTTCGGCATCCCGACATGTGGGCGCCCCGCCTAGCTCTAACTTCTCTCTCCGTACTCTACCAATCTCTTGTCGCTGTCAAACCTCCTCTCTCCTCCGCACTCAGCTTGCCACCAATCTCGTGTTCTCCAAGTTCACCTTTGCCTCAGCGTCTCTCAGCCCTAGGGCCGGTCGGCGGCTGCCTGGAAGAGTCAAAGCGGACATCAAAGGCAGGCCCGCTTCGTCCAGGGCGGCTACGCGCATCGCGGCCGTCATCATACCTGCTTCTCTGGTTCTCGTAGCGTGGCGTATTCGACTCTCGCCGTGTCCTGCCATCGCCAACATGTCGTCCCGCCGACCTCTGCTCTCTCACTGCCTCCATCTCGTCGACTTGGCGTTGCATCGAAGCCTTTTCTTTCTCCAGCTGCAAAATGCGTTCTTATAGTTCGAAATTTCTCTTCTCCATCTCATCGGCTTTGTTGGTCATGTCGCTGACCTGGTGCGCGTCCGGCGATCTGCTCATACAAGGCTAGCTGTGCCTTTTCCTTGTTTGTGTTCTCTTTCACGAGCTCGTTCTTCTCTTGAATGCCCTTGGCGTATAACAATTGGTAGTTGGCGAGTGCGAGGTTGGTATCGTAGAAGTATTGGTATGCATTACTGGTCTCCTTGGCCATCACTGTGGCCTTGTGCAATTCGACCTTATCTGTCTGGAGCTGCGCAATGTGCGCCAACAGCTGGGCCGCGGGATCTTCCGGCATCATTCCAGAAGCAGCAGGCTCGATGTTACTTCGGACACCTTGGTGATGTTTTCTTCAAATAGGCTGTCATACTAACGATAGAGACGATGGAGACGACGCCATAGCTGCCTCTTCCCTGGAAGTGTCTGTGGGTGGGATGTCTTTCATATCGACGTTGCTAGGCTGGTGCATTAGGCGCGGGTCACGCGAGCGGTCGTATGTGTTGTTCGAGGTCATGGTATGGCAAACGACGGGGTGCTTGCGGGAGATGGGCGAGGTTCTTGAAGGTAATTGAAGAGGTTCTTATAACGTGGTCGAACAGATTCTGCGTGATGTTTCGCGAAAGTGGGCGCGAGAAAAGCTTTTGTTTACCAACATGCTCCCAATGCGGTGTGTCTGCAACCGTAGTAGCGGATCGCGCGTCACCTCGAATTCTGCTACTCCCAACACACGAAGCACCTAGAAGAAAATTCCTTATGCTCTGAACCCAATACCCGCTCGTCTACAACAGGGTCAATAACGGGCACCTTTCGTTTCTCATATCGATCTGCAGCCACCCGATCTCAACTCAAACACATCCAATACCATGCCACACGGAAGCCTACTTCGCCACATGTTCAAGCATGGCCGGCACGCGAGAAACAGGTCCGAGACAGGTGTCCCTCTTCTCAGCGCGCCCGAAAAGCCAGCTCCCGCCGCCGAAGTTTCTAAAGCTTTGCCACCCATCCCACGACGGTCTATTTCCCCCGAGAAGCGCTTTGTTGAAGTCCTCCCCGAGATCACAGAAGAGTCTAGTTCTGAGAACAGTACACCTGATACATCGCCTCTGCGCCCTGTATCTACTACCTCGGACACGGCATCTATCATCACAGTGATTGCAGCACAATCCCCCAGCATCGATGCCTCTGCCGTTTCAGATCGCGAGATCATCTACGCATCCATTGATGAGGCTAACGACGCAACGAATGCGCATCTTCGTACACTGGGAACGACGCTCGCGCTGCTTGAAGCGTTGGAGGGGTTCAGTCCGACGGTCGCGGTGCTGTTGCGCGAGTTCAAGGAGAAGAAAAGGGAGTGTGAGGCGAAGTTGGAGGAGCTGGAGCGCTTCGAGGAGGGAGTTGATGGATTAGTCCTTGCTGATGAGGTCAAGAGGGGGCATGGTTATGGGAAGGCGAGGGCTTGAGGGAAGGGTGGGCGATATGGAGAATGGGAATAGGAATTGAAGATCGGTCACAGGCATCTGGCGCTCACCTCGTGGGATAAAGTTTGGAGATAACATGGGATGTATTATATGGAGTTGAAGAGCTGAGTAAACACGTGTTTTTTCGTGGCTTACAAAAGTCCACGGTATAATTCTCAATGTCAAAATGGCTGCTGCAACAATAAAAGATATGAGTCAACAAGTTTCAATTGATTTTTTTGGGATATTATGAGCATGTTCGGGTCCTTTTTCTGTCAAGATAATGTTGCCTGTGAGGATACAACATAATCCACCATGTGACAATGGGAAAAGCCATTGTGTCTGCTACCTCGCATATGACTATCAGCATAAAAGACATTGGATCATAAAAGCCTTGCTACTTGACAAGTACCGTGGCAGATGCCATTCTCACCACATATATATCCCAGCCAAAAGAGGGAAGATGCGCTTTTGTCTCACGGTGTTAGAAAAGAGGGGACAATGTATCATGGACTTGTATCGACGCCGTTCGCATCGAGCCTGCTGAGTGCTGAGTCATCGTTGGGTGCCTGAGTGCAGCTATGTCGCACTCCCCATGAAGATGCTTATTACCGCCTAGGTACGTATTCACCCTCTTTTCTGCACGTCCAAGATCTAGATGTCACTATTTCGCGCATCGGAAGACCTGGCGATGTTTCATTCACGTGGAAACTGTCCGGATGTCGTCGAGTGCACAAGGCATGGGAACCATGGCATGCAAGTCTGTGGCCCCACAAGGATGCGGCGGGTGCACCTGCGTTGATGCAACGACAGATCGTTGATGCTAGTATTAACATGCGCTACCTACGGGAATTAGCTGCGTCGGAAAGAGGCTGAATGCCTTGTGAGAGGTTGCGCGGGGGTGCCTTGTAAGGTGGGTTTGCATGCTGGTGGGTGTTGAGGCTGCGAGGACCTGAAGCTACCTTACAATGACAATGCACCGGTTGTGAGGCATGAGGCTACACGGTGGGCCGATAGGAGAAGAGAGGCTAAGAAGCAGTTTCTTGCCTGTGTGTTCCTTGCGCGTTCTGTCCTCAGCTGCTCACTGCGTGGGAAGAGCGAAAGCTGTTCTTGAGACTCCATCTATAGAACACTGTCTTTTGTTGGCTGGTCATCTTCCATAAGTCAAGGTTGTACTTTCCTGGTGCTCTTAATATTGCATTCATACTGCCGGAAATGCGACAGAGTCCGTCCGCTGGAGACTACCAACAATGTGTCCGCTCGGGCGCTCGGAGACGGTGTACATGGTGAGACCTTTCGTACAACTTGAAGATTTCTGCAGCTTCCGGAAGCATAGCCGAGAAGGGGATTGGTGACAGATAGCGTGCGCCTTACAAGCTTGAAAGAGTATGAGGTGACGCGCTGTAGTGACAGCTTAGCGACTGTATACTATGTCGGGGTAAAGCCAATCATGAAACTTGGCAGGGTGACGTCGCAACCATTAAAGGCAGTCTCGTAAGCACCAGACGAACATACGAGCGACGCAGTGAGCAATGTACTTATTCCAGTTAGTGCTACAAACTCCCATCAAACAAAAAGAGCATACAACAAGAGCCCTAGGAGGAAGCCCGTCAAACGGAGTCCAAGTAGGTGATTCGTGGATTCATATCTAGGTGGGTGACCACGAGACGACACTAGCGAACATCCTCTTGAATCTTTTTTTCGCGGTTTTTTTCAAGATATTTTTTCTTTTTAGCACCTCTTAATATAAAAAGTAATATGCGTAGAAAGGAGCGCTTACTATAGTTCTAATCTTTACATCTTTTATTAGTTATATATACTCTAAAAACAAAGTTATTGATATAATATACGTATATTATACCTATTCACATTAACTAATCCTGTTTGAATTAAGTGAACTTCATTCTCTTCCTCGAGTCATCTGCTCCCTGTTCCTCGCATGTCTTCCTAGCCATGAACTGAATATCACCCAAAACTTCCTCCATCCGTTCAATCTGACTGTCGCTACGCTTCAACTGGCTACATACATCCTCATTGTAGCGGTGGGAACGAGGAAGAGGGGGATTGCATTGTCGGAGTAGCTATGAAGGAGGGCAGCTATATATATGAATGTGGGATGTACGAAGTGTGGTAGCGAGAGCAGTACCCAACTTGTACCAGAATAGGTCTTGGCATGGCCCAAACCGTTACACACCCTCTCAGATACGGCTCTCAGCAAGTAGCTGACCATAACTAGAGATGTGAAAATAACGGAAATAAATAAAAAAATACTCTAGTTCCACGCTGAAAGCTTAACTCCCTTCTCTGCTTCCTTATTTTCTCTTGGAGTAATAATACTCCGGATATCTTCAAGCCCTAATTGCTTGACAGAACTCTCATGCTTTTGACGAGGTAGTACCTTGGTCAAACCATCTGCGGGCATCTGATCTGTAGGCACCCAATTGACCTGTATTCGCTTCTGCTCGACTTCCTGGCGGAGCCACATCTGATGAGTATCCACATGACGAAGCTTTGTCTGAAGCCGATCTTCTCTCTTAGTAACGATATCAACCGTGGCTGTGTTATCACACAAGAGCTGTGGTGTGAACTCGAGCTCAAACTTAACGTTCTTGAACGCGCGTTGCCACCACTCCATCTCAGCCCCTGCAATAGAGAGAGCCATCAGCTCTGCTTCAGTAGTTGACTTTGTGACTGAGCGTTGCACTGTAGCCTTCCAGTCAATCGGCATCCCGTATAGCTTGAACATAAAGCCATGCGAGCTTCTGCGCGTCTCGAGATTGTCGGCAAAGGCAGCATCAGAGGCACCAAAGAACAACGGTTCCACTCCTGCCTCATTTGCTTCACCCTCTGTGATATACGACGCACTCTCGGTTCGAAGTGCTGTAGCGCAGATAGCGTAGTACTGAGTACCAATCAGGTACTCCCAAACGTGTTTGGCGGCAGCGAGATGCTTTTGGTTTGGATTCTGAAGATGCTGTGCGAGCACTGAGTGCGCTTTCGCAACGTCCGGTCTAGTGATACATGAGATGAATGCTAGTGAGCCAGTAAGGCTCTGAAACTCCTTCGTAAGCTCGGCGTTTGGTTCTTCATCACTCGGGCCTAGCCCCTCATTCAGCGGAGTTGCTGGGTATCGTCCGGATTTCTTCTGCAGTTTGAAGTTGGCAGCGACCTTGTCGACAAATGAGTCCTGTAACAGCCAAACTTTCCCTTGCTCTTCATCGCGTACGACGCGGATGCCTAAGAACCAACCAAGCTTACCTAAGCAACGTATCTCGTATCGATCCTTAAGCGCACGCTCAAACTCTTCATGAGCTGCGAGATCTTCTGGTCGAACCAGAACCACAATATCGTCAACGTAGAAGAAGACAATAAGCTTTTCGTTTGTAAACAAACATGGGATGCCTGGCACTGGCTTAAGTCCCATCTTCCGCAGTGAAGTGCAGAGATCGTTGTACCATAACAGCGGCGCTTCCTTCAGACCATACAAGGCTCGCCACAACCGTAGTAGCGGACCAAATTGATCAACGTAACTTTCTGGTGTCTGTACGTAGATCTTACGGTCGACTTTTGCGTTTAGAAACGCATTCAGTACATCATACTGGAAGGCCTTTAGGCCAAAGGCAGCCATTAGAGCAACAAGGAATCGGAAGATCCGAGCTGCTAGTGTAGCCGCATATGTGTCCTCGTATATCTGTTGTAAGTCTCCTCTTACAACTAAGCGTGCCTTGAACTTCGTGAGATAGCCGTCTTCATCGAATTTGTAGGTAAACACCCACATTAGCGGCAGTATCTCACCCTCGGCGACGCCTTCTTCGTGAGCTTCTGGCTTGAAACAGCCCTTTCTTACTATATCGTCCATTTCAGCTTGTGCTGCAAGCTTGAAACGGTTGCCAAACGGATGGCGTTCGAGATCTGACCAACGTTTCGGTGGAGGTGGAAGATGGTCTCGATGGAGGCGAACCTTCTTAGGCTCGTGAAGCTCTCGTGCTTTAACCGGATTGATTGCTGAGGCAAAGGTCGATAGATATGTTACTGCGAAAGTGGAGAGATACGCCGCATGAGCGCTGCCTCTAGTACGTTTACCGGCAACGATGTTATCTGACGTAATGGCAGGATCCGTCCGCCTTGGCGCGTTGTTTTCGCGACGATTCGGCGCCTCTTGACCCCCTTGCACTGGCTCGTAGCCCTTTGGCAAGCTAATCTCTTCTTCAACGCTCGCGGCCCTACTTCTCCTTCCTCTCGCATCGGGCGAGACTGATAATCCTCCTGGGTCAATCGATCTTGCAGGTGTGCCCTCAGGCGTTGGTAGGCTCTGATCCCCTTTCGCTGACTGCTGTAATAGCTCTTCTATCAACTGATTATGTGCTTCATCCTCTTCTAGGATCTCAGTGCCATGCAAACCAAGCGGAGCAGCGAGCTCTAGAAGCTCACTAATCTCTAGTTCCTCTATCTCGCCTTCGTAGTCGGCGATATCAAGTACTGTCTTTACTGTACGTGCCACCCTCAAATCTGCGTAGACTGTTCTGCCATCGTATCTTGTATTCGGACGAAATACGACGTCTCGGGTGCGGATAACAGTGTGTGACTCTGGGAGCCATATCCTGAAAATGTTGGTGGAATCGTATCCAACTAAGTGGCCGATAAGCGCTCGAGACTCCATCTTGTCGCCACGCTTCAGCTTGGTGTTGAGGTAGTACGCCTGTGCGCCTATCTTGCTTAGGTGAGCCATCGAAGGCTTGTGTCCACCTGCGACTTCATAAGGCGTCTTCCAGCCAAGAGACTCGACTGGTGTTCGATTAAGTAGATATACTGCGGTCATGACGCACTCGTTGGCCAGCTCCTTGGGCAGACCGGATCCAATTCGGATTGCGCGAGCTCGGACGATTATTGTTGAGCCAGCGCGCTCGATGAGGCCGTTCTGCTCCTCAGTGTACGGAGCTCTTGTTTCAATCTCAATACCTCGGTTAAGAAAGAGCTGATGTAGTAGGCTGTATCCTCGCTCGCCGTCGATTTTCACTGCACAAACCTTGACACCATACTGAGTCTTAATTCGTGCTAGCAAGCGCTCGACTGCCGTTAAGAGCATTGGTGCTGACTTGTTTGGTAGGCATGCGGCTAGGTGAAGCTTGCAATTCTGGCACACCGCATGGAATAGCCAAACGTCACCGTTATAGCAGCGCTCGCCTGTCTCACGCAGCTGTACGAGATCGATAGCCAATCTTTCGAATGGTCGGGTGGCTGGTTCTCGCGGAGGCCTTCGGCTCTTGAACTTATGAAGCTTTGCTTCAATACATGTCGTACAGGTCTCCCAAGTTGGCGCTATTGTGCCTTCTTTAATCTTTACACCATCGACACCCTGCTCGAGCTTTGAGATAACCTTAGCGCTCGGGTGGCCCCAAATCTCATGGGCTTCCTCCGCCGTTAGCTCAAGCGGTCGTCGATCAGCGTACGATGGTTTCACCGCTTGAATCCTTCTCTTTTCTGCTGCATTAACAGACTCTGCTACACTTGTAGACTCTGCTACACTCGTAGACTGCAGGTCTTCTACACGCGGTCTCTCATTTTCGTCCGAATCCATCAGCCAATGCCCTCCTTCGGGACTAAGCTTACACACGACGTTCTTTGGCGACTTCTGGTATAGGCAGTCTCGACCTGAGTCGAACTCAATTCCCATCGTACGGCATCGTGAGAGAGCGACAAGAGAGGTAAAGAAGCTCGGGATATACGCTACCCAAGTAAGCTTAATTTGGGATGTTCCGTGAGGCGTGTTGATCATGATCTCAACCTCACCCCATTCCTTGATCGGAATACGCTGACCTCCAGCTAAGATCTCGTCATGGGCGTTAGCATCTGCAAGCTTACGCCAAGTCGAATTTCGATGATTAGACACGTGAAGGTTCGATCCTAGGTCGAGTATCCATCGCGTTAGCAGCGATGGAGACTGCTGAGTAGCCTCTACTTGGAGACAAGCATTTGAGCTTCGACCACTTTTCGTGCTTCCATCGTCAAAGGCAGCTGACTGAGGCTTACTCTGCTGAGCTTGCTTAGCGAGCTTTGCTTCTACTGATCTTAATACAGCTGAGATTCTGCTGCCTTCGCCTCTGCTTCGGATAGTATCGAATTTCTTCTTCATATCTGAATCCGCCTTCCATCCAGAGCTACGCTTTGCTGAGTTAACGTACGGACAATCAATAAAGCGATGCTTCTCTCCACACAGGCAGTTAATCTTTCGAAACCTATCGGTATCCTGTGATATTTCCTGTGGGTCGCCTAACGCCGCAAAGGTTCCCAGCGTTGAAGCCACTGGTTTCGTTTGCCGATAGTATAGTCGAAATCGCCCCACAAGATCAACCGCTGGTAAGAAGGACTCTCCTTCCTCTTGCTTTGCGATCATGCTAATCCTTTGTGATGTAGCCTATGAATCATCAGTCGATTGCACCGAGTCGAGAAAGTCCCGCTGTGCCCTTGTACCCTTCACTTCTGCCATCTCAGCCGCGGCCATAAGCTCAAGGAGCTCCTCCCAGCTATCAAGCCAGGATTCAATGTTGGCGCGCTTTGGCATCTAACGAACAACCAAGTCTGGCGAGATTAGTTGAGTCTGTAGCTCACCGGCCATTGTACAGGGCTTGCCCCTGAGCACGAGCCTCTGTATGGTCTGTGATCTGCAATCGATAAGAATCAAGCCAGCTTGACTTGCTTGTTGACATCTCTGGTATCTAGATTCATGATCCAATGAAGTCGACGCTCTGAGATCGTTGTCGCGATCTCGCTGTTGAACTGCCTTAAAGCGAGTTCTTTCTTTTCGAACTTTGTTAGTTCCTTCTGGACATCTCTGGTATCTAGATTCATGATCCAATGAAGTCGACGCTCTGAGATCGTTGTCGCGATCTCGCTGTTGAACTGCCTTAAAGCGAGTTCTTTCTTTTCGAACTTTGTTAGTTCCTTCTGGTAACTAGTGTACCAGGCTGAGTACTTCCGGTATTCGTGCTCATCGAGATGCTCGAGGTCGTAAACCATGCCGGCCGTTCGGCCTCGTCCGTAGAAAACTCCTGCTTCTTTCTTCGCAGGCTTCTCATCTTCGAGCTTGAGTACTGTTTCTGTCGCAACGTTAGGGTTAACGTACGCCCATAGATCGTTCCGCTGCGCGCTATCTTTGCGCAGGAAGATCCACTTCTGCCAATCTGACGGTTGATCGAGAATCACCGTCGTCTTCGTGATCAGAAGATCACTATTCATCGTAGCCATGGCGATAGCTGATGATAACTGCTGTCGTTAAGACTCATGAACTCTCTTCAGTTTATGTAGCTCATTCTTGTGAACATCCTTAAGTTCCTGGATTTTATCTTTGTGAACCTTCTTGAGTTGCTGCAGCTCCTCTATCATCGCTCGGAGCTGACTGTGTACGTCTTCCTTGCCGCCCGTAGGCTCTTCTCCGCTTACATACAGTTCGTCATTGCGGTATTTTTTAACAGTAGGAAGTTGCGATGAAAGTGGCACCTTAAAGGCATATGTGTTCAACGGAGAGGCAGAATGAGCTGGACTAGCTGTGCTCGCTTCCTTGGTAGAGGACGATGCGATTGCGATTTTGGCATCGGCGGAGACGGCTATGGACGGGTAGCTGTCTTCTAACGAGATCGAATCACGCGGAGGCTTGCATTTCGCCATTGTAGTCGCCGGGGTGTCCTCTTTGGCACTGGAATTTAGTGCCATCCTGATGAGCCTCGCTCGTCGCTCGTCGCTTCTCGCTGCTTTGGCGCGCACCCTCTCTCGCTTCAACAGAGGTGCTGGGTCTTCTCGGTCCTTGTAGAAATCTTCCATAATCGGATGCTTCATGTTCGGCCTAATCGGCTTCGTCTTGTCTTCAGTGGGCTCCAGAATCCCGGCAAGAATAAGGTAAACTTGCTCGTTCATATCGGGGCGGATTTGATATCCTTGAATAGGCTTATGGCCTTGCGAGGTCCAGTGTACTTCAGGAACGTATGTGGCATGACATTCGCGCCCAGCGTGATATCCAGTCTTGCATACTTTGCATTCTTCATCGCACTCGCGAAGAGTTTTGGTATGTTTCGGCTTCCAACACGACAAACACTTGTTTTTCTCTCGCCAATCGAATTTTCCAAACAAGCGTTCCAACTGCATAAAGTCGAAGTACGGGCCTGGCGGGGGCAGGTAATCTTCAGGAGGCCTAGAAAGGCGCTTCACCGGTTGGACGCGCTTGATCTCGGGACCGTTCTCGTCTCTGTTGACTTGCATGATGTAATCTGAGTTTGAGAGCTCTTCGGAGAAGGGTAGGCGATCTGTAAAATAGCCATAGTCAGCAGAGTTCATCATGCGAAGCAGGCGGCTGTAGTCTTCTAGGCAAGATTCGGAATGCGATAGCAGACGCAAACTCTCCTGTAAACGCATTCAAAAACCTTGTCTGTTACAGAAGAAGAAAGAAAGGTGCTGCTAGAGTATACATACAACTGGTCTCGGCGTACGAGCCATAGCCTACAGCGGACTGTGCGGACTGTCGGGGTGTCTTTTTTGCGTACATCGCGGCTATGAGTTGCGCGGCCATTCTGGACGGCAACAATGTCGATGAACTGTTATCGAGGTAGCTCTGTGTATTGCGACGAAAGAAGCCCTGTGGAATTTCGATCGTGGGGAACTGTGATCGTCAGGAATTGGCGATTGCAATTTCTCCCGTGTAACAAGGGTCTAGAGACTCACTTTCACTCTTCGCAAGGAAAATTTTCACAGCTATGTAAACATACGTGGACCCTTGAAAACTGCAGAAATAGGTTGCTGGACAATCTTGAAAGCGGTACCTATACTGCAATCCTTCGAATGCAACAAGCCACTATGACCTAATCCTCAATTGCGGTAGTTCCTGTACGTGAAATATATGGAAACACAATTTGTTGTGTCGGCCAACTCTCTTATTATAATGTTGTGGCACATAATTGTGTCGCACGAAATAGGTCGTGTTAGACTCATGGGAGATGTAATTTTTCGTACGGCACAGATACTTCACAGTGCCAGTGATGTTTCGCGCGTACTTGGGACTGATACCAAGTATGTATTGGGAGTCTAGGTGCCGCCGTCGACAATATTGGGACCCTCATGTCTACATAAAAGGATCTTGGACAGCTGGACTATGAGACGGATCGACCGTGTTTTGGGGTTGCGCACCTGGTCTCGTGGACCGAGGTGGTCTATCGACTGCCCGGTCTTGGACAGCTGGACTGGCCGTGTTCTGGTGCTGTGCTGGTCTCGTAGGTCGAGGTGGTCTTGGACAGCTGGACCGTGAGATAGACCGACCATGTTCTGGATCTGTGCAGTTGGTCTGAATTCTTCCTGTTCTGAACCCGTGGCCTGGTATGATCTCTCTGGTCGAGGTGGCCTGATCTCTTCCTCGCCATATACAACCATTTCCTGATTTGGTCTGCTAGGTCGAGGTGGCCTGAGCTCTTCCTTATCGAAGTTGTCGTCATTGGTGCCGTCGTCGTCGGACTCTCTATCAGTATCAGGATCATTGGCGAGACGGGGACGCTGATGTGGCCTGGCTGTCTCATCCTGGTTCGCCGCTGCACCTAGTACTTTGAATTCTGTTCGTTGCATCGGGGACAGCCCATTCTGTGCGCGGTACCATTCCCGCGTGTCATGAAGAAGTTCTCGAGCATTTTTGCAGTTTCGAGGACATGACCCAAATGATCCATGAGAGGCCTGTGTGGCACGCCATAGTAGTCGTAGTTGACAACGGTAACATGATTTCATTTCCATCTTAGATTATCTGGCGGCTTTTTTCTATAAAATGCCATGTGCTAGACAACAATTCGTATGCGTCAAGTTGCGGTTCTGCTCGCTGCTGCGTTCCGATTATGGATGGTAGCTTTGTAACCACGTGACTAGAGTCACATGATATCCTATTGTAGCAGGCACTGCCCGGTGGGCAAATGCACTTACCTCTGAGCCGAGAGCTCTTGTGCAGATACATCAAAACACGACAACAGATAGCAATACAATTGTTGATCCACAGCCTCCACCCGACACTGCTCACGCAGTTACAAGCTTCCTTAACAACTGTGGACCTCTCATGTCAATGTCTGCCGTCCGACTCTTTCCCTCTCCACGACACACCGAAAATATGTCGCACAGTCCTGGGTAAGTCTCTCAGCACAGTATGAACCTTTTACATCTCCGGCTCGCAACAGCCACCAGTGCTATCGAGCTACCAGAACCCGCTGCACTCCAGCCACCCAAGCGAATCGCCCGAGCAAAAGTGAAAAAGCTTTCAGCAAGTATCGAAGGCCTGGATGAGGAAACTTCAAGACTTCAGAAAGTTGGTAGCGATAAACAGAAGGTCTTCGATGTTTTGCACGCTGAGCAAACATGGGAAGACAAGGTGCGGCTAGATATGGACGCACAAAAGCAGAAGATGTCACAGTATCGTGCAACTATTCGAGATTTACAAAAGCGTCCCACGGCCAAGCAGTGGAAAGAAGCAACATCGAGAATCGATACTCTCAGACAACGGCCCACAACAGAAACCCTCCGACCCGCAGCCACAGCCGCGACCGATCCCATCCAGAGAGATCTGGACACACGTATACAAGAGTGCGAGAGGCTGAAGAAGCGGCCAACAAAAGCAGATCTGAAAGATGCTGTCGCAAAAGCAGAGCTTCCATTAGAAGATACAATCCGACAGCTCAAGAAAAGATCTATACTCAGTTATCTAGATGACTCTGTAAACTCAGCGAAAGAGCCACTAGAGGCTCAGATCAAGGAGCTCGAGAAGCGGCCAACAGATGAAAATCTAGCAGAAGATATTAAGAAGGCGAAACAGTCGTTACAAGATACGACATCTAAGCTCGAAAAGCGTCCTACGCAACAGGCCCTCACAGAAGCTGTCGCGGCAGCAAAAGAGCTAGAAAAGCGGCCAACGGATAAGCATCTAGCAGAAGCTGTTGAACAGGCGAAACGGTCGTTACAATATACAATTTCTAAGCTCGAGAGCCGGCCTACGCAACGGGACCTTGCTGTCGCTGTCGCAGCAGCAGAAGGGCCGTTGCAGGTCAGGATTGATAGGCTCGATCAGGATCTCTCACACGCTGTCGCAGCTCATGGGAGACTACAGGGCGATATTGACCGGCTCAGTAAGAGGCCTACACAGACAATGGTCCAAAAGGCTATCGATGAGGCAACCCTACCGCTGCGAAACCAGAACGGCGGCCTCCAGACACAACTCGACGAGCCAAGAGCATCGGTCGTGCGTCTCGAACAGCGCCCAACTCAACAAGATCTTGACGCGGCAGTCAATACCGCCACCAAGCCACTGCAAGAACAGAAAGGCAATCTCGAATCTCAATCAGGTGAGATGCGAAGTGAACTTGACATATCCGGGAATTTAGTCACAACGACCCAGGATATGCTGAAGAAAGAGCAAGAAAGCCATCGCACGACCCAGATGGATCTCGATGATAAGATTCAACGTCTTGAACAGACAAAGAAAGAACACAAAGATGAGGTGGCGTTACTCAAAGGCAACACCTCCAAAAAGGAACAGGAGTTGGCCAGTCTCCAGCTGGACATCTCCACCAAGAGCCAGGAGTTGACGAAACTCAAGCTAGACGTTTCCATCAAGGATCAGGATTTGACGAAACTCAATCTGGATGCACGCCAGAAAGCAGAAGATCAAGCAAAACAGGATCAGGCTGCATCCGAGCAGATTTCTTCATTGAAAGATGAGGTCCAAGCTGTCGAGAAGACCCGTGACGAACAAACACAGGAGAAGACCACCAAGATTGACTTGCATCCGGGAACTAGAAGCCAGCTTGGAAAGAGCACAGCAGGAACTCTCTAGCGACAAGGCCAGCGCAGATGGTAAAATATCCCAGCTACGCCGAGAATCACAACGTCGCGCTGCAACTCTCTACAATCTGTATTCAGTTGCAGAAACGGGTCGCAAGGGGGCGCGGCGATGGGTCAAGATCAGCTTCCTTTCACTTTACATGATCTGCGGTCAAAAGAATGACATCTTATCGGGTGTCTCACGTATACTTCGGACCAAGCAAGCCGAGACCTCTATGCTTCTGACCGAAAAAGAACATCTCCAGAAAACTAATGACGATCTCAATGAGAGATTCTCGAAGTCCAACAACGAGTTGGAATCTGTCAAGAAGTCGCTGAGTACGGCAGAAACGCAGCTACAGGACAACCAAGCAGAGTCAATTCGTCTCACCAGCAAGGCTAAAGCCGACGTGAAGCTGCTACAGGACGACCTTGCTGGGTTACAGAACCAGTTACAGACGAAAAAAACAGAAATCAACAAGCTCCAAGCCGACCTGCAAGAGTCGACCAAAGCTGCGGGCCTCGAGCTTGAACAAGCTCGAGAAGATGCAAGGTTCGGCGATGAAAAAGCCAAGAAAGCTCAAGAAGGACTGCAGGTGATCGTTCAAGATCTGGAAAGCCAGCTTAAGCAAACAAGAGCGGATAGAGATGACGAAAAAGCCATGCATCTTCAACTCCAGGCCGAACTACACAAATCTATCGGCAATCTTCAAACTGTGATCACACTGGATGGTGTACAGAACGAACAAGACCAAGACGCCGCATGGCAATTGAACTCGAGGCTACAGAAAACCATGGACACTGTCCAGGCTGAGCTTACGCAGACAAAAGCCGACTTCCAAACAGCTACCGCCCAGATTGAACAGCTTAATACGGACTTGGAGAACGCTTAAGAACAATGCGAAACGGCAAAGAAGTATGAGACCTGTGCTCGGCAGCTCGATCAATCGCGTATTGATATGCTCGAGCTGCTGTATGCTCATTTCAAATTCGATGAGCCGTACAACACTCGGGCCCATTTCGAGAATGATTACGACAATGGGATCGAAGCGGCGACTGCATTTCACCTGGAAACCATGAGAGAAGTCCTGGAATGCAAAGAAAGTATGTTGCTCACAGCCGAAGAGGATTGCGACAAGCTTCAGGCGGCGCTAGAACAAGCAACAGCTACGTTCAACAGAATCTCCACTGAGATGTCCGAGGAGTCAAATGCGCGTGCGGCCCAACGATAGACAGCTACTACAGTCGCATACTACTCATGCAGAAAGATATCGATTTAGGACATGAACGCCTTGACACATCAGTTAATACCAACGCCAAGTTGTTCGCACACATCGAAGCACTACAACAGAACTCCGACCAGATGACCACTGCGTTTAACAATGTCGTGGAATTCGTTGAGGGAAAGATTCGGGAGGGGGAATTATCATAGCTCGGCGTATCAATGTGCGGACCAAAGGGACTCATGTTGCTCACGTGTGGGATACACGTGGCGCTTGATTAATGAGGCACGTTAGACATGTGGACCAATAGCGTTCGCATAGCTATCGTGTTGATCGTATGTGTGCAAATGCATGTATGATTTCCTCGTATATAGTATTCAGACTTTTCAATCAGATATCTAAACCAATAAAAGCTTGAACAAGTCCCACTGCAACGAATCTATGATGAATGACGTTGATGCCGAGATTAAGACATCATCTCAGCGACCAAAACGGGATCTGAGAGTCATGGAGGGCTTGTAAATAACTTCATCCATAGGTATCACGAAGCAGCGCGCCTGAACATCCCTCGGGATATGTCAAATGGGCGCTAAACCACAATCAACCAATCAAGGTACCGAGATTAACAATCTCAGCCCACTCAAAAACGTGGAACAAGTTAATCACGAGCTTCATGTTTGGTGCACACAGCACAAAGGACAAGCAAATTTATCATAATCATGACTGATGTAACTAATTTCTTATTGTGTCTATATACTGTCTACATAGTCGGTCCTTAGGATCCAACCATGGCACCGCTAAAATCATTGCCAGCACAATCGGTCCTTGAGATCCAATCATGCATATTACTGCGAGATTGCACACCAAACTTTCATTCCCGTTCTATCGCTTCCTCTTGTTCCTGGATGTCCTTTTCTTGTTCCTGGATGTCCTTTTGCGTAGCGGTCATACGTTCCCAGAAGGCTTCATCGTGGCGCACCTTAGCGGCCCGCATTTCTGGGTCTGTGCACATGTCTTGTGTTTGACGCTGCACCGCACGCAAATCCTGTATCGCTTTCTCGATCTTTCCATCTTTTGTACGTTCATCTCTTGTAAGATTTTCGACACGCTGCTTGCGTTCCTGAACGAGCTTTTCCATGCGCGACAACTGTTCTGCATGGTTTTTTTGTTCTGAGAGCAAGTGCTGTTTGTATTTTGGGATACACTCGTCCAGTTCTTATATCAATTGCTGTGCGTATCTGGGACTCTCTTCTCGAATCTTGCGGAACCGAAGCCATGCTCCGTCTGTTATAGCGGTTGCTGAATGTACGCTGAGGCCTGCGGGTGCGATATTGAAGCCGATGTCACTGTTGAAGTAACTTTCTGTCAAACGGGCGAACAGCTCCTTCCCGAGTTTGCACTCGTCGACGCTGATTGGGTATCCGATAACGTATGTTTTCCACTTGAATATGGGCTTGTTATCTGGGTGTCAAAATTTGAGTCGACAAATATCTTCAAATAAGGACTCTAGAAAGCTTGTGTTTCCTGAATCGTGTTGCTTGGTACGGGCGCCTTCCTTCTCTGTGTATTTGATATACTTGAACATGTGCGGAAACGGTATGTCTTGCGTATGATCGTCGCCTTCGTTGAGTAGTCCTTCCAATGCTCCGCAAAAGGTCGCGATGATCTCCACACCCCGTGCGCTGCCCGCGAGAAAATAGTGGCGGCCGTGGGTGATATCTTCCTCGTCGGAGCGGTTGGCCCGAGACTCGTTGTCGATGCGAAGACATAGCTTGGCATGGTCTGGGTCTCCTGATATGTACTGTCGCGTACAAGCGATGATCGTTCGAAATTGTCTTGGTGTAGGAGAGTCGCCAATGTCGCTGATAAAACACCGTACGTAGAAGGCAGGACTGTTGTTCCCTTTCGATCTTAGAGCCCAAGTGCTGATAGGTGGAGGTCTCGATTTCGTGCTCACAGCTTTGAGATAATCATCGAAAAGGGCGTCGTCGAAGTAGGCCCGTAATCGGCTGTGCGATTGGTCTCCCACTTCGACTTTCTGGGGCAGGGTGCCATCTAGAAGTGCCTGCAGCATTACTCTTGGCACATCTGCAAGGATGCAACTACCGTTGTGCCTCCACCAACTGATTGATCGCAAATTCTCATCTTGACCATCAGGGAACGGGTGCAGTGCTCTTTTGGAATCCACGAAAGCGGCGTCAACTACCGCGCTGTACCCAAACTCTTGAAGCAGCGTTGAGTATTCAAATTAAAGCTCTTCTATCTCTTTACGGGCGGACACCATATGTCCTTCTTGCAGGGGTAATAGAACTGAGTTGCGGTAGATTCGCTGTGTGAGGGTATCATAAATCAGATTCCGATATTCCGACGCAGCTATGCTACCTTCCGGGACTGATTCTGGAGGTAATGATGAGATTCTTTCGCTGGGTTTATGCTCGCTGTCTGTGTTCTGGTTGTATCTGTCGTTGCTTCGCATTCGAGCATAGTGTGAAGGGTTGGTATGTAAAGGGTTAAAGTCGATCGCGTTCGGTTTCGGAGGAACCATTGTGAGCGTGATGAAGAAGTGAAGAAAGGACAGCTTGATTTATGGTTGCTGGTAGGGATACTCCATGGGTAGCTGATATGCCCCCTGGTATAGCGGCGGATACGGCGGCTGATATGGTGGCTGATATGGCGGCTGGTAAGGATACTGAATGGGCGGCTGGTATGGTTGCTGCATGGGCGGCGACATTGGCTGTTGATACGGCTGTTGAACAGGTTGCTGGTATTGCTGCTGGTATACCTGGGGCTGCGTTAGCTGGATGCTTTCAAGCTCTCGTATTGGATCCTACTGGTATGACTGGTCTTTCTGGTCTTACTGGTCTTATCTGGTGTGGAAATTGTGAAGGAATTGGCTTGTCAGGGCCAAGGGGGTGCCGATCTTGAGAAGCCATGCTACACAACGGTTACACAATACCATACAGAATAATTGAGGTACTCGCCTTTTGTTTAAAATCGTGAGGAAAAGCAGCAGGGTGCGGGAGGTAAACGATGTTTATGCCGGCTGGTGCCAAGCCGCTAGCGTATGAGCAACGGCCGCACACCATCGAGCTTGGGAAGGTGCGAGGGAAGAAATTGAGAGACTTAGCATAGAAACAGACACCATGTCAAGTATGAAATCAAGTCTTCCGCCGATGATTTTCCTGATCTACTATAGCGCAGTCGCTTGTTCCACAAACTTCAAACATTTGAAATCATGTCCCCTTGAAAGACTACAACTACCACATTTCCTTGAGCTTTACGCACCTAGTTAAATCATAGACTTCTTCAGTTAAGAGGGCCAGGTCAGTATCGTTTCGAGCAATCCTCCACACACGTAGTCTGCTCGCAACCGACTGCGGAGCAATCAGTTAGCAGACCCTCCGACTGTTTCAGCTCCAAAGACAAGACCAATAACACATTCTCTGAACAGCTGTTGACATCAAGGACACAACTATTTCATACGTAGTTATTCTGAAGACCTGAACTTTTGCTTGCTCGCTACACCAGATGCTGATGTGAACGAAAGAATAGTCCTTGGACAAAACTGGTGTTCTGCTTGCCATCACTAGAAGTACTTTCGAAGATGAGCTCCAGAGATGCAGCCATATCTATTATCAAGCATTTCCCCACGACCCAGAGATTGTGACGTTCCTTGTCCTCCCTAGACCCTAGTGGTAATGCCAAGTTGCCAAATAAGATGATCGTTGATCAGTGGGTTGATCTATTGCATCCGAAACATCGACCTCTACAGTATAACCATCGAGGATATGTCTTATCTAGGCCGCTTCAGCAGCTTCTGTCAAGTTTCCGACTCTGAAAAGGGGATGCTCGTGGCAGTCGAAAACTTCATCGCGAGCGAGTCACGGATGTCTGAGGGTTCCATGAGCAACAAGGTATTCGAGCCTCCGGCATTCATAAGCTCGATGTCACACACTTTAACCACTAGTCTGATGTTGCGGGCGCAGTAATTCATAAATGTCTTCCATTAAAAGTATCGCAAGATCGAAAGCCTCCCTCGAAGATTTCTTTTTTTTTACTTTCTTAGGCTATGCCCTGCTTCTGTTTATGACTCCAAGACTCCCATGTGACCATCATTATTGTACAAAAATATCCAAAACTTTTCTTTATCGCTGTGAAAACGGTCCTGCAAGGTGAACTAGTGCTCGAACCTTACACGCTTTCGGCCTGTTGTGCCAGCAGTACCTTCGAGCTCTGCAATACGAGCATCCCTTGCGACTAAGGCTTCCCGGGCATTATCGAGTTCCTTCATTAGCGGCTAATCTTGGCAGTTTGGCCCTCTATCTTGCCATCTTTTCCTTCCAATCTGCCAGCTTGTTCTTGTACCATTGCGGAAAGCTCTTCGATGCTGGGAACGGAGGCGCTTGTTGTCGGATCGGAAGTTTGTCCATCGTTCTTTGCCGAATGATACGTGTCACGTTGAACGGGGAGTGCCGGCTTCTTGAATATCGTCGCGGTCATGTCGGGCACAGGGTGCGACGTGGATGATTCGCCTTGTGAAGGCCCCGATTCTGTCTCGGTTTGTCGAGCTCGCTGTGACCCCTTTGGCTGCGTGGTATTCCCCACCACTGGCCATGTAACCGTTCCTGACGTGTAATGGGGTGCGGCTATACCGCGATAGGTTTCCTTGATGAGGGGATGGTAACGATTGACCCGAATTTGCTGGACGGTCGTGGTGATCAGACTTGTCATTAAGCAAACGCGTTTGAATAGTTTGTTTGATTTGCTTGACTATAAGCAAATTAAACAAACCAAACGCTGCCTATAGAAATATACAAACAAATCAAACGTACGATCGAAATTTGTTTAGTTTGTTTGACTGTTTGACTAATATTACATAGCGAGCTGTTCTATAGATGATGTCCTAAGGTGCTTTAAGATCGACTTTAATGATGTTTTTGAGATAGCGGAGGTAGCAATTTCGCGATAGTTTTCTTGTGTTGCATCTAGCTTAGTCATCATATAACTACACGAGCGTCGCTAGCCGTCGATGACCGCTATCTTATATCCCATCTCCCATCTTCTATATCGCTGTTAGCCATCTTTTGCAGCTACACTACCGTCTCTACAGCACGTTTTAGTGTTTCTCGTTGCCCAACACGCCGAAAATGCCGCTTCGTAACCTAAAACGCGCCGCCGAGGGCACCCCCGGCCCCCACGGCCCCCACAAGCGCGCCAAAACAGCTAAAGGCAGTGCATCGCAGCCTATCCTGATGGACGATTCGCAGCCTGAGCTGTCTATCCGCACCTCGCCACGTAAAGCCCTAGCTGCTGCAGCAAGCCAGGCCACCGAAGACGCGCCGTTCGAGTCGCAGTTGCGCGACGCTATACCAGAAGCTACTATACAACCGCCGGCCGAGGGTAGTAGGGCTGCTACGGAGGCTACAAGTGAGGCTATCGAAGGCGGGGATGATACTGGCTTTGATGACGAGTTTACGGACAACTTTGACGGCATTGATTGGAAGCGTTTACCGCGTTTTACGAAGCCGCTGCGTACGTTGAAGCGCAACAAAAGTTGGGTATATCAGTACGGTTACCGCGTTGCCTCTCTCCGTGAGCCTCATCGTACGTTCTTTGTTTGCAAATACTGCCATCATCGTAAGATCTTTTGCGCCTATCCAGAGGTTACAAAGTCGACCAGTAACGCTATCAACCACCTCGCGCAGAAGCTACTTGGCCACGGCTACGATCGCAAGGGCAAACTGGATTCGATTACACTACCGCGAGGCCAAACGACGCTTAAGATGATGACCGAGGGCGGTGTCGATGTACCTCAAGGCGTCGCTAACGAGCTCGGAAACTTCGACGTACAGCGCTTTCGATACGCCGCTGTTACGTGGCTTGTCGACAATAACCACCCTCTCCGCGAGTTCGAAACGCCTGCGTTTAGGCAGATGATAGAGTTTGCCAACCCGGAGGCAGCTGACGCGCTGTGGGTAAGTCACAACAGTGTAGCTAGCTTCGTGATGAGGCTGTATCGCTATATGGAGCCGCAGGTTGTTCAGATGCTCTCGTCGGCTATTAGTAAAATCCATATAAGCTTCGATGGCTGGACGACAAAAGGCGGCAAGCGCGGCTTCTTTGGAGTTGTTGCTCATTTTGCTGACGCCGACGGCACTATCAGGGACCTACCTATCGCGCTGCCTCAGCTTACGGGCGCCCACACGGGCGAGAGGATAGCTGAAGTTGTTGGCAATATAATCGATGTCTTCGGTATAACACGTAGCCAGCTTGGGTACTTTGTGCTCGACAACGCGTACGCTAACGACACCGCCGTCACCAAACTCGCCCAACGCTTTGAATTTACAGCAAGCCATCACCGCCTCCGCTGCGGCCCTCACACACTTAACTTAGTCGGACAGATGATTATCTTCGGCTTTGATAAGGACGCGTACGATAATGATCAGGACGAGCACAAAACAGAGGCAGCCTACCTACAAGAATGGCGGCAGCAAGGTCCGCTTGGTGTACTAATCGATATCATCAACTACATCCAAACACCGCAACAACACGATCTTTTTGCCGATTGCCAGCGCCGTGTTAACGCTAAGGCTCCCGACCAAAAGCAGGAAATACTCGAGCCGGTAAAGCCAGTCGTCACGCGCTGGAACAGCTTTCACGACACCTTTGTACGCGCCGCAAAACTCCATAACGCCGTTGATGAGTACGCCCAAAGCCACATCGAAAGGACGATGGGCGCCGACGCGTACGCGCGTAGCCGTAACAATAAGCTCACTAAAGTACCAGCTTGGATGAGATCTAATGGGCTTACGGCTGACGATTGGGCGGTAATAACCCAGTATATATCAGTGTTGGAGCCGCTAAAGGAGGCGACAAAACGGCTTGAAGCTCGCGGTAAAGCTGGCCGTTTCGGCGCGATATACGAGGTTATACCTGTCTTCGAAGCTGTACTTGCCGTGTACGAGCAGCTACTTAAAAACCACGAAAGCGTCGACTATAATGCCAATAGCGCGCCAGAAGATCACCTTCCTATCAACCTACGCGCAGCTTGGGCAAAGCTTAACGCGTATTACACTAAGCTCGACGAATCACCCGCATACTTTGCCGCTACCTGCCTCCACCCATACTACAAGAACTACTGTGAGAACAGCTGGCGCGACAAACCGAGCTGGCTTGAGGCAAACAACGCTGGGTTGAAACAACTTTGGGCGTTCTATAAGCCGCAAATACAGCGCCAAAGTCGCCCACCAGTGCGGCTCTCAAGCGGTATCAACGACGCCATCAACGCGCTCGTTAATGCGGAGCCTTATGGCATTGTTGAGGTGACAGAGATGGATGAGCTGGAGCGTTGGCGACGGTTTGAACTCCGCTGGACGCAGGAGCAGTTCGAACAAGGTAGTAATCCTGTTAGCTATTGGATAAGCCTACGCCCAAAGTATCCTAACCTAGCGCGTATGGCGATCGATATATTAACAATACCAGCCTCAAGTTGTGAGTGCGAGCGGCTGTTCAGCGAGCTCGGTGATTTATTAGAGCCAAGGCGACGCAAAATTGGGTCACAACTGCTTGCAGCAATACAGTGTATACGAAGCTGGCGCGACGCTGGCTTTAAGCCTCCATCTGATTACAACTCAGGCGATGTAACTGACGCTGAGGTAGCTGCAATATACGAAATATGCAAGTGGGACAGCGAAGCTTAGTAATATATACGATATACGATTAGATCAGCACCTAAACAGTATCAAATCTATCAAACTTTCAAACAAACGGCCTCCTAAAACACTATCAAACTAAACAACTCAAATACAATCTTAAGTTTTGTACAAACAAATCAAATCAGCGTCCAAAGTTTGTTTGATTTGCTTAATGACAAGTCTGGTGGTGATGCTGAGGAGAATTCCGGCCTTGAAGAGGTATGCCAGCTCCCTAACTACTGGGCGCAGACGGATGGCGCGAGTGGGTGTGTGGCCGCGCTGTTTCCACCAGACATACCTAGCGTATATGCGTGCAGTGATCGGAATGGTCTGGTCTGACTTGGTCTTGGTCTGGTCTAGACCGCCAAGACTTGGTCTGGTCTGGCGATTTTTTGAGACCGTGGTCGGACCGGTCTAGATGATCGGACCGGTCCGGCTATAAATAGGTCCACGTGACTAGATCTTAGACTAATCTAGCCAGAAAATTTAGCACAATATGAGTCATTAAGATCAAGGTAAGTCTTCTACTTACATAGAACAATCAAGTCCTTAACAACCTACTTATATACTATTGTTATGGAGCCTTCAACACCAACCTCACCGTCCCCATCGAATATTATAAGACTAGATTTAACGTCTCTTACTCCATCTCCTATCCCCACGTCATCACCCACCCCTATACTATCACCCACTCCTATTCAATATCACGAATCTCCAGATGAGTTCGTGCAGGGCGGTATCACGTACGTGAAACGTGCAATAATTGCAAGGAAGGATTTCCGTCAAGGTACATCACACATCTGGAAGTACGGACTCCAATACATTCAGACTCCGCAACAATCAAATCAATCAATCTTAAGGTTGTCGATTGGTTTGATTAGCTTGCGGCGACGCTGCTGATTGATTGCGGATTGATTGTTAGGGTTTTTGAGCAGATTGATTGCGATTGATTGGTTGATTGGCTGATTGATGCTAAGAAGTAGTATACAGGGGGTTATGGTGTTGTACTCCAGCCTTCTATATCGTACTGTTGTACAATCTCCTCATCTTTGACGTCACTCCACTTATCTTCATCATCACCGTTGTTGTACAAGCCGTCAAAGCCAGCTCGTCTCCACGAACGTACAAGCTGAAGGGCAGCAAGTAACTCGCTGCCAAGAGCTCGCCGGCGCGGCTCAAGTAAATCGCCAAGCTCGCTAAAGAGCCTCTCGCAGTCGCAACTAGATGCTGGTATCGTGAGTATATCAATCGCAAACTGGCTTAAACACGGGTATTTTGAGCGTAATTGAATCCAGTACTTGACTGGGTGGCCATCGCTAAGATACTGTTCGCTTGTCCACTCTGGCTCTTGAGTTCTCCAGCGCTCGTACTCATCGTCGTGGGCAGCCTCTACCTGAGCCTTGTTGCGCCGTACGAGGGCGCCAATCACATCATCTATTCCTCTATGCCTTGGTTTTGCAGTTGTTTGAGATAGAGGACGTGTACGTTGAGGCTTATACGACTGCCAGAGCTGCAGGAAGCCAGCGTTGGCTGATGTTAGCCATTCTGGCTTATCCACCCAGCTGTTCTCGCAGTAGTATTTGTAGTATGGATGGAGGCAGGTAGCAGCGTAGTATGCTGGCGATCGATCGAGCTTGTTGTAGTAATCGTTGGCCTTACTCCAGGCGGCGCGGAGGTTAACAAAGAGGTGATCTTCAGGCGCATCAGGTGGGTTGAAGTCAACTTGCTCGTACGAGCGCGTACGGGCTTCGAGCGCGCCAAGTACGTATTCAAATACAGGAATAGTCTCATATATAGCGCCGTATTTGCCTGCCTTTCCGCGACCCTCAAGCTTCTCCGTAGCAAGCTTAAGCGGCTCTAGGCAGTCCTGATACTCTGTTATCACCGCCCAATCAGCAGCTGTAAGTCCTGTTGATCTCATCCAACTAGGTGCTTCAGGGAGTTTATTGCCACGTTGACAAGCGCGGCGATCTTCAAGGGAGAGTGCGTTAATGTAGTGCTCAGCGTAAGAGTTGTATGCTGCCTGGAGTTGAGTTG